TGCCAACAACAAAAAGAGCAAAGAAGCTTCTCCGTAAAGACGCTGGTGTTTGTTGTCTCGGGGAACTGGGAAATCAGCAGTAGCAGCAGCAGGTGTGGGCTTCCTCTCTGGCTACTCTAGGCTCTGGGCTCTGGCTGAGGGGCAGAAGCTTGCTTGAGAGCTGGGTGGGAGGCTGCTGAGAGAGCACCAAGGCTGAGGAGCATCAAGTGTCCTTAGTCACAGGGACTGTGGCTCTCAGGACATGGCCTCCTTTCTGTTTTCCCACAGCCCCTGTGGACACTTGCGTTTTTTTTTTTTTTTTACATTTGAAGCTGTTAGGGTTTTTCTTCTTGCATCCAAGCTTGTGCTTTGCCCACACTCTGCCGTTTGCTGGATCTGGTTTCCTGGTAGCTTACTTGGCCAACTCCTTACCTCATTTTCAAGGCCAGGACCAAGGCCCACTTTGGTTATTGTCTTTGGTGACAGTTGCAGCTTGCGTGCTCTCCCACACAGAAACCATGACGTTGGGTTCCACGCGTTGTGCTGTTGTGTATTATTTCATGTCTTATCCCTCAGGAGATGGTAACATCTTAAGATCTGGAAGCAGATCTTTCTCACTCATATTTCATGTCAGCCACTGAAGAATGCTGGCTGCAGATCCTCTTCCATGGCTCCCTTCTGCTGTTTGTTAAAAGGTGAGAATAGTACGTTGTCAGTCACCCTAAGGAAAATTTATATATGGGGAGAGGAAGCAGGATAAACTTATAAAATGAAAGCAAAAGAAAACTAGACCTGCCGGGTACAGTGGCACATGCCTGTCATCCCAGCACTTGGGAAGGCAGAGGCAGGCGGATTTCTGTGAGTTGAAGGCCAGCCTGGTCTACAAAGTGAGTCCAGGACAGCCAGGGCTATACAGAGAAACCCCATCTAGAAAAACAAACAACAAACAAAAACAACAACAATAAAGAAAACTAGAACTAAATGATAAATACAGTCAAACAAACAAAGGTTCAAGAAGGTGACAAGTCATGTAGTTGAGGCCTGTGCTGGCGCTGATCTTGTACGCTGTGACTGACATCTACCTTCTGTCTTGTAGCATGTGGTGTTCTCAAAATCAGGTAACTACAATGCTACCAATCCTCTCCATGCTTTCCACTTACACATCCATCTAGGACGATGACAAGGTGTCTCAGATGATACTTGACAGAGTAGGCAGATCCAAGGATCAAGATGCCAGGGATGCCTGTCTGGTAGCACGCCCTTTGCTAGGTCTGCCTGCAGGCGAACGGTGGAGGGAACCCTGCTGCGATAGCAGGCATCACACGGAGAGGCAGGGCAGCGCCCAGATGCTAGGAGCTACTGACATCCAGCGAAAACACTTTGGTGCGGCAGGAGGTTCTGGCAGAGGTGGGAACAGTGAGCTGTGGTGCAGGAGAGGAAGGGTTTGATATTTACGTGTTGGTTAAAGGGCTCTAACTTCATTCCAGGCTTTTAAGGAGGCCTCGGGGGCCTCTTTTCTTGCTTGAGCCTGGTTCTGAGGGAGCAGGAGATGGGGATTCAGGAGGCTGGCTGCCGCAGGACTCTTAGCACAAAGTAAAGATGGCTTAAACTGAGGACCTGACCTTGGGACAAAGAAAAGAGCAGATGGATTCAGAGAGTTTGGAGCCTTCCCGTACTAAGATGACAGCATCTTCCTGGCTTTTCCCTTACAGTGGTGTTTACCCATATCCTGCAAAAGCACAAAGAAGGGATGGCTGAATTCATGTGTAGCATTTGACTGCCAGAAAAAATGTGCATGATTTCTGAATCAAGTGTGTCTGGTTGCTTTCAGCTGTATGCCGGTGCCCCTAGGAGAACCTAGGGCTTATCTTTACTAGTCTCACCCACTTGAGGTCACTGTCACGTGTATACTGTCTGGACAGAGCAGAATGCACTGATTTTCCTGTTTGTATAAGTACACTATGTTCTTTTGTCAAAGGCTCTGTTCTTAGTACGGATAAATAGTTCTGTATACACATTAGCCACTACACAGGAGAAAATTGTAACTATTCTGTGGTTGTAATGATGAGTGGAGTTTAGGATTGGCGTTTTCTGCTTCTAGAATTTTGTTTTTCCTGAGCTGTAAAGACATTTAACCATCTGTTTTTGACTTTAAAGTAGATGTTCTAAGCAGAGGCTGTGAATAAGTATGTGACTCATGTGAATCGTGGAAGATACATTGAAGAGATATTGTCAATATTTAATTGCTACCATGTATCTTTCGCAGCTATTTTTCTAGCTTTCCAAGTGTATAATGTAAGCAGGTAGAATTTTAAGGAATTGAAAAATAGTAACTGTAGTTTAGTTGTCTCACATCCTGCAGCGCCTTTAGTGTCAGAACCTAATTATTCCTCAAAGCAGCCATTATACATATCGTTGTTTATTTAATATTATCATATTGTAAGATCATTTCAATAAAAATAGAGTGTTGAATTCTTTGTTAAACTTCATTTGGAAATATAAGTTAAATTACAGTTTATATTTTTAAGAGCCTTAGAAGAGTCGCCTTCTCTAGCCACGGGTAGTAGGTACTCACAAAGGACAGATCTCTTGACTTCTCTTGTGAACTACTACAGTGTAGTCATCCAAAGAATTTTAGAGTAGGCTCCATATATGCAAATTAAATTGTATGGCATTTTTCAAAATAAAAGTTTATTGCTGGGCTGGTTGGAACTGCCTCCTGCCCAAATAATAACAATGAAACCTTTTTATTAATGTGAAAGCTTGGCCCTAGAGCTTGGTTTGTTCCCAGCTCGCTTGTATAACTTAAATTGACCCATTTTTACTAATCTGCGTTCTGCCACATGGCTTGTTACCACTTTTCTGTCCTGGCACCTGCTTCTTTCTCCAAGTCTGGCTGGTGAATCTCCCACGCACAATTCTTTCCCAGCATTCCTATCTCAGCCCGGAAGTTCTGCCTATGCTTTCCTGCCTTGCTATAGGCCTTCAGCAATTTATTAAACCAATCCGAAGGTGATGGAGAAGATTGTTACAAAATCCTGAGACAGGTGATGCTTCATAAAAAGAACAATATCGAAGGCTGACCTGTACTCAACTCTCTGCGGGTACAGACGTCAGCGTTTGAATAATATAAAAACAACCTTTACACAGCACACAGAAAGATTATCCCAACACAACTTTTCTTCAAGAGTAACATGCAAGTAGCAGATGGAACAAAGTTGCCATCTCTTAATTTTCATTTCATTTACTTGTAGCTGATATCCTGTTGGGAGTGAAATATGTTTAACTGTAAATAGATACAGCATATTTGCACGTATGGGACTAATCACAGCATTGCTAAGTCACACCGGTGCATACCAGTGGTGTAGTTCTGAAAAAACGCATGTGTGCCTTTGGCGTAGGTTTGTACTTGAGGTTGTTCTTTGTAATTGCCGGCCCCCCGACAGTCAACAAAGAGAACTAGCAAAAAAAGAATTACATCCAAGCAGCATTGCGGCAGTCATACTGCGTAGTATCCCGCGCTGTGCTAAGATGCTGGCTACCCCCGTTTTCTGGCCGACGGCCTGGGTCTTGCTGTGTAGCCCTGGCAGGCCTCTGCCTCCCAAGTATTGGGATTAAAGGCATGTAGCACCGCACCCTGACCTTTCTACACTTCACTCTCCAGGGATCCTTGATAATGGCTGTTACCAGGGAGTGTGCTAGTCCTGAGTAGTTGGTTCTTTAATTTATAAACCTCTTCTACTCTGTATGCAGACATGTAAATGAGCAAGCGTTAGTAAGCAGCGGCTGTTTACTGCTGTCGACAACAGAAACTGTTTTTGCACGTTTGTCCGTATGCATTGTCCGGTATATCAAAGCAATCTCACACACCAAAGTTCTACTATATAATGAACACCAGGAAAAGTATGATGTTTTTGGCCAGCAAGATGGCCCGTTGGGTAAAAGTACTTGCCACACAGGCTGAAGGAGCTGAGTTCGACCCCACGAACTCCTGTGTAAGGGCCTGATGTGGTGGGGGAGCGCATCTGTAATCGCAGTGCTCCAGCAGCCAGACAGGGAGTGGAGGAAAACCCGCAATCCTGTGGGCCAGGTAGCCTGCAGCCTGCAGCATGGCAGGGACAGCGGGAGAAGGCGCCTCAATACAGCGCCTCAATACAACGGAAACTCCCGGAGCTTGTCCTCTGTCCTCCGCAAGTACATCTTGTGCGTACACTCATCTATTCCATCCTCTCCCATGCACATGCACGAACACACACATATGTACGCACACACTAATTACTGAAATAAAAGAAGGGATTTTTTATTCTGCATATCATTCCTTGTGCACTCATGAAAATTACCCAGGAAGCAAACTTTGGGAAAAACCCAGTCTTGTCTACCTCAGCTTTTCCTGGTTGTGGCTGGTTGCATATAAACAAAACTAGGCTTGCTGTGAGCTTTGGTTACCTGGTATGTGGGTTTGCTCCTATGATTCTGGCCAACGTATTAGTATATACTGTTTAGGGCATGATGATGTGGAATGGATCCATATTTTTCTTTATGAAAGTAACTTTTTGAACATTGATAACATAGAATTAAATGGGCTAGAAAAAAATCACAATAAAAATATCAAAGTAACTATATTACATACTACTCTTGCTTTCTCCAGTGGTTTTCTTGTTAGTGATTAAGGAATAAAAAACTTAGATAAAAGCCAAGACATTTTATTTTCTCAGTTTTTGAAATGTGTTTATGCTTTCATTGATAGTGTAATTAAAAAAAAAAACAGTGATTTTTGGTACCTTTTTGGTAGAAAACATTGTATGGTATGGTAAGCTTGCTGGCCCATTACCTCTCATAGCACTTTCTGCAGTGGAGAGAGTGGCGGATGGTAGGACAGCCTTGGCTTATTTCTGAGAAAGCTCCATGTTTGCAGCCACCCATCACCACCCTGAAGCCCAACAGGGAGAGATGAGATCAAGAGTAGACTTCCTAAGCCACATAGACCATACAATAAGGTTGATCTTTTTTTTTTTTTGCAGATTTTGGGGTAAGTGCATTCTTAGCAACAGGGGGTGACGTTACTCGGAACAAAGTGAGAAAAACATTTGTTGGTACCCCGTGCTGGATGGCCCCTGAAGTCATGGAACAGGTAAAAATAAATGTTGCCTTGAATGTTGTAGTAAATACATGTTATTGATATGTCTATATAGAGTATGTCTAATCAATAATCTCCATAACACACATCTGATTCCCTGCAGCTGTTAACATTTCATTTCAGTCAATCACTGCAGTAGAATTTATCATACAGGGTAGATTTGAATCCCTTATTGCCCATAGTAAACCGCACTGCAATTTTGTAAATAGCTTTGAGTATCTGACCCAACAATGGATGTACTAATGTGTACTGGGCCTGTCGCATCACTGTGGATGCTTTTTCTTCATCTTTTTCCCCCCCTCTTTCTTAGGTGAGAGGCTATGACTTCAAGGCAGACATGTGGAGTTTTGGAATTACTGCCATTGAATTAGCAACCGGAGCAGCGCCTTACCACAAATACCCTCCAATGAAAGTAATGACTGCTGGAGCGATTTGCTGGGTTGGAACGGTGACGGGCGTGAGGGGGGCGGCGGTGGGAGGTGGGGCCGTGGGTTCTGCAGTTCTCCTGAGCAAGCTTATTTTCCTCGTTGACTCGTGGGAGTTAGTGGGGGGAATTCGGCCAAGTTGAAGGCTGACTCATGCTCTTCTGCACCGAGTTGACAAAAGTATAGCGGTGGCAGTGCCCTGCTCTGGGACTTGGTGCGGATTTGAGCCGATGCATGTCGCTGACTCTTGAAAGAGCAGGACAGTCTTAGCTCTCCCAACAAAATCTAAGAACATATTAGAGGGCTATTACATTTGCAGACAGATTTCAGGCTGCTTTAGGGAGAAAATGGTCTCTCCCACTCTCTGCTTGCTCACAGAGTGTGGCGTTGCGGCTCTTCTGGTGTGAGTCATGGTGTTTTGTAGCACCATATACTTCAGGTACTGTTTTCAGGTTTTTATTATTCTATCTGTTCTTCCTCCAAGACAGGATCAGTGTTTCTAATTTTTCCAGCTTGAGTTTGTTTTGAAGCTGCAGTTGTTCAGCGGAAATTAGGAAGACGTTTCATCAAATCTCTGGTCCCTGCTGGTTTTATTTTTCATCTTTTAATTTTTAGAAAACTTAAAAGAATTAAAACCTAGTGATGAAAAGTGGTCTAAGAAGCAAGTAGTGGGGCAGAGCTTAGGGTTAGAGCATGTGCTTAGGGAATGTGAGACTTGGGTTTTGTCCCCTGGCTGTTTCCCAACCTCTGCGGCCCCCCCCCCCCCACACACACTTTCTCATAGTTGAAAAGCTGAACGTGCAAAGCAGAAGAGCAAGGAAAGATAAACACTTGTGATCTCACCAGCCACAAATAATCTCAGTTAAAGTTTTAGTGGGGTTAATTTCTTACTGAAAGGGTGTTTCGGGCGATTGTGCCCAGGCCTTCACCTGTTCCGAGCATACGGCCCTGCCAAGCTCCGCCCCCACCGTGTTCCATGTCTGTCTGAACTTTTAACGCAGTTCAGATGCCAGTGGTATGCTTGCATGGGTACCATACAGTGCGCGTCTGCGCATCTCTTTACTTCTGTGACTTACTTTGAGCAGAAAATTTGGAATCGAAGTGTAAAACACAGAAGAGATTTTTTATGGAAAAAAAAAAAAACACAGGAACTCTGAGGACTTTCTCTTTAATCCATTTTTTTTTTAATTTTTATGTTTCTTTATCTTCCTGTCTCCATGTGTTTTTCCCACCTGGATTTAAAGAGGTGGCACTTGTTAGCTTTAAGTCTGCCAGAACCCTTTTCAGGAGCTCACAGTCCACCCACATTCTCTTCCTGACCAGTGCCCTCCACAAACAAGTCACTTTTATCATTCATCTATTCACACGTTTCAAAGTGTTTGAAAGGAGTCTTGGCATGGATAGCATTTGCATAAATTAGGGCCAGTTTATGCACTAAGAAGTTTTATTCATTTTGTAGGTCGGTAGTATGCTGTCTACCTTACTTGCTTTTTACAGCAAGCACTTAGTGTGAAAGAGATGAATTATTTCCTTTTTGACTTGAAGCTGTAGTTTCTGCTGCCTGCCATGTATCACATACTTTGATATGGTTATAGCTTTTTTATAACTCATATTTATATCCTGGACATCAGTATCTTACTCCTTCAGTTTCTATCCAGCCCTTTTAGCAGTTTCCTCACTCAGTTCTCTCTTTAAGAGAAAATCCCGGTGCCTCCCGGGCAGGTGTGGTTTTATTTTTAGTGTTGCTAATAGGTTGCAGGAGCCCTGAGTAAGGGGCGGGTTCTGTGCTCATGAATGGCCTTCACACTGTCTCCCAGCCATGGCTCTTTCCCAGCCAGCCTGCGTTGCAGCGACATGCTCCCTGAGGTTCTGTGAGAGCCACATCCCGGAAAACATTTTCCCTGTGGCTTTGAGAGATATGATTAACACACAGAGAAAATTTCATAAGTTCTGTCGATGGGAAAACCCAAAAGGGGAAGGAGGGTGTGGGCAGATTTGCAAAGAGATGTGTGTTCCTCCAGGACACGACTCCAGGACCATTCAAATCATGGGAGAAGCATGTTCATAACGTAGTCAAGCAAAGTCTTGGATGCTTTTGTGAAAAAACTGAAAGTTCCGTCATCATTCATTCAACAGAGACCGTCTCCTCCTTTGTTCTGGCTGCAGGTGCTAATGTTGACTTTGCAAAATGACCCACCCACTTTAGAAACTGGAGTAGAGGATAAAGAAATGATGAAAAAATACGGCAAGTCCTTCAGAAAGTTACTTTCACTGTGTCTTCAGAAAGATCCTTCCAAAAGGTATGTCACACTCAGAGTGGGATCTGATAACCTGGTTTGGATTCTGACAAAGCTGTGTTTGTGGATGAGAAACTCTGTTTGCCATCCCATCCTGTTAGTGGGAGTCAGCCTGAATCTGCAGGGAGAGACACCATAGCATCAGGGGGAGGAGGAGGAAGAATTGATCTTGCTTGCCCAGAGTAGGCACAGTCACCGAAGGGAACAGAGCAGAAACCAGAAGCTGAGCTCATATCCTGCACTGTGTAGGTGGAGCTGACCGCCTAGAGAGGAACATCCGGCTAGCTCTAGTCTGAACCAGGCCCGGTCACTGAATTTTGCATGAGCTTCAGTTCAGTTGCAGAACAAGTTGTTTGGGCTGTTCAAAAGATTATCAACAGAGAAAACCTTACCTAGAGAGATTAATCATGCAAGCGGAAGCAAATGGCTTTAAATTAACTGAGTGTCTCCTCTGTATTCTTACCCCACTGCCTTGCACTGGAACAACTGGTTTTTGGATCTGTTTCTTCCTTTTTAATCCTGTGACTTTGAAATACCCCTGGCCTTGACAGTGGAACTCAGAGTACTTTACCATCAAAAGGAAAATTTCAGTGATGCAAATCATAGGCAAGCCTTGACCCTTGCAGAGACACAGTGTCTTCCTGGACAGTCAGTCCTCTGTCATATTTCACCCAAGGCGCCAACCTGTACTTAGATTAAAAATAAATAATAGTAATAACTTTTCTTCTGGAATTCTCTCATTCAGGGACGGATCCCCCTTGTTAGAAGGTACTGCTTTATTCTAGTTGTAAACTGTTCATGTAACTTCTTAAGCTTTTTAACTTTCTTACACGATTATTGTCAGCTAGGGCATGCTTCTTTAGCTCTAGCACAGTTTTTGTGGTACTTTGTGACGATTTGCTTTTGCAAATTCTTAAATTTTTTCCTGCAAATATTCCCTACAGACTGCTTCTGCTCGACATTTCTCTTGTCCTTATGTTTGATATTTAGGGATTATTTTTTTTTTCTTCCGATGTCAAGTGATTTTTTCACTGGGCTTACTTTTCTACTCTCCCAAAAGTGAGACTTCTCTTAGATATTAATTTTGTTCTTCAGCTTCTGCTTATCCTTTCCTATCCTAGTATTTAGCCGTGAGGGAAAAATTTGACATTGCAAAGCCACCGCAGCTGGTGAGAGCCAGCCTTGAGTTTCTGTTTGGTTCCAGGTCTTCACTGACAGCCTCTGTGATTCTGGAACAAGTTGAGAGCCACCTAGTGGCTGTGGTGAGGAATGTCACGCAGCCCAGACAATGGTTCCTTAGGGTAGAATTGCCAGTTTGGGATTTGGTCAAAATAATTTAGACTTACATGCAGTATACTTAACAGACCAGTTTTGTCTCTTAATAAACGTAAAGACTTTTCCAGGTTTTATTCACTCTGTGAGTTCAGATGGCTGATTCCTTCCGTGTGTGTGAGAGACAGTGAACCAGAGAGGAAGAACTGTGTAGCTGTTCTCTCTTAGAAGAGCTGTAGAATAGTTGTGCTCCATGACCTCCCCAGAGGCTCTGCCTTTTAATGAGGAGACATGGACACTGAAGACGAATGGGAGGAGTTTAGGAAAAGTAAAAGCAAATAAACACACAAGAAACCATCATGGATTGTGAGGATGGAAGAACGTAGAATTGTTTTCATACAACATGTAATTTAAAACAAATCAGTATGAAATCTACAAATAAGCATTGATGCACATGCCGACATTTTGAAGTGATGGCTTTTCCGGAGTTTTTAATTCCTTCTGCCCTTCTGCTCTGTTCATGCCGTTTAAGACTTTCTGCTTTTTTCTCTGTCATTTTCATTTTTCTTTCTGTTCTCTTCTGGTAGTTTTGCAATACTGGATGGGGTTCCTAGCTCGGTTTTATTCTCATTCCCACGAATTAGTTTCTTGGTCTGCATAATGGGTCTAGTAATGCTCATTTCAAAGGATTGTTCTGAGGACGCAGTGAAGTGACACAGGAGGCAGACAGCAGAGTGCCTGGGGCGGGCTCCAGAGCTCAGGAAATAGAGATCTCCATTCGCAGTTTGCCTCCACCCTGGCTGCGAGCATTGCCGTGATTTTAGATACTAGTTAGATTATGCTAGTGATACATAATTCACATATACACACATACATACATGTACATATATGTATTTAGCACTGTTACACTGTACGCATTTGTGTGACCTACACAATAAATTCAAACTTTTAGGAAGACTTGCACACGAACCTTTATATGTATGTGGAGACTCGTGGGAGTTTACAGTCTAGAGGAGGTTTAAATCCTCTGAAGAGGGTTTCAGGGACAGAAGCCAGATTCGAGTGGCTTTGGGAGTTGAAAGCAAACTCTGATAATTTTTGTGTGTCTGTGTAGCTTGCATTGGCTCACCTCCCCGCAATCTGAGTGCAGTGAGCAGGCAGCAAAGCCACAGAGCTGCTAAGAGACTTGAGCAGCGACAGGCACAGTGGTAGGATAACCAGGACCGATTCCCTCCTGTGCTCACATGCCAGGCTCTGGCCTGTCCTCGTGACTTGGAGCTAAGGTGTTGGAGCCCTGTGTCCCATGGAAGTCTGTGCTTTGCCTTAGCCTAGCGGAGTTGCTTGTATTTGCATAGCAGGATATCTTGCTCTTTCCTAATAAAATAAGCCTTGGTCTTATAGATTACATACCCTTAATTGCTGGTGACCTATAGGAGGAGTGAACATTTACTTTGAGCACCAAAGGGGCAGATGTTACAGAGATAAATCTGCCAAAATGAGTTAGACTGGAATATTGTGTTGCCGGGGGGGGGGGGGGGACGGTGAGGCTGTGCAGAGCAGTTTCTGCCTGAGGTCAGTAAGCTGTTCGAATTTATTAAAGCATGTTGTGAGAACTGTTTAGACTGTATAATACTCATCCTGAATCCTTTGAGATTCCTGAGTCTCAGTGGGCTTTGGCCCCTCCATACATATCAGAGGAATCTGGTGAGAGATTTTCTTTTGAGCACATTGGTACAGAATACTGCGTTGCTTTTATGGATTTTACATCCAGTCATTCATAGCCTGGACTGTCTCAGGTGCGGGTAGCGTTTTAGCATTTCCTGTAGAACGGCGTTTCTGTTTCTGTCAGCTGCTGCATCGCTGGGTGGCGGTGTGATAGCAGCCATGCGGAGGTGGTAGGGAAGATAACGCTGCTCCAGTAGAACTCAGTTACGAGACAAGCAGGATTGATGGCTCCACCGTGAGCATGGAGCGGCAGTTTCCGTGGCATAAAATGACAATAAATAATTATGCAAAGGGAAGCTCAGATGGGCAGCAGCACCTCTGCTTGTTTCGCACTTTCATTTTCCTCATTTCTTCTACTTCCCCTTTCCCCTACTTTCTCATGATGGGAGCTTAGCATGTGTGACATTTTACCCCAAAGCTATGAACACTTCAGCTGACTTCAGTGCTAAAGCAACCAGTGACCCTGCTGTCGAATTGTTCTCTGTATTGGATTAGGGTGACCTGCAACTTAACAGTTGTGTCTATTAAAAAAAAAAAAAGACATACAGAATTTTTTTTAAAGCTATTTCCCCTTCTAACCTTATGGTGTCTTTGTGAAGGATAAGGGTGGTGTTGAGTGGGGAGAAGAGGATTTTTTTCTGCAACATGCTTTTCCCCTTTACATTTTTGGTTGCCATAGAAATGACCTTTCTCTGGAAGGGAAAGAATTTTCCCAGTTCTGTTTCTCAAGGTCAGTCCAGCATTTCACAGTCCAGCCCTCTCTCTACCTTGGTTTAACATTTGACCTTTGGCATGCAGAAGGAGGATGAGGGGTTGCAGAGGAAAGGGAAAATCATTTTGGGTCCCCACCTCAGCACCTCTACTGTCCCCACTCATTGTTTTGCTGGCAGGAGCTCCTTCTTGCTGCATCTCTTCCTCACTGTGTGGAGCAGATGCTTAGACTTCAGTGCTGGCTAAACTTAGCCTCAGGAGTTACAGCCCTGTGTGCAAATGTCTACCAGCATCGCTGTCACTTCACAGCTGGGGTGTGAAATTGAGCTATAGTAGTTCGCTGTTCTGTCCCGGGCATTGGGAAACAGAAATGAATTCTACAGGCTCTTTGCCTTCGAAGGGCTCATGGCATGATCAAGTGGAACTAGGGAGAGGGTTGAGCATCATAGATGGAGGTAAACACAGAAGGGGAGTGAGGACAGGCGGGTTCCCCCAGGCACCAAGTTAAGAGCAATGAATCCTCCTTATAGAAGCTGGGAGAGAGACCCCGAAGATGTTTCTTGACTTACAAGCATGCTGGGTAGGGAACATTTTGAATCAGAGAAAGCAGGGTACATTTTGTCACGAACGAACAAGAGACAAGTGAGGACGCCATCATAGTTGAGGGCAGACTTGCGTGGGGCGGGTGGAGGCAGCCCCTGAAGCTTTGCCATCACCAGGCTTGACTCGGTTTCCTTCAGGAGAACCTGCCTCTGAGGATAGGCAACGCAGGCCGGCGAGCAAGATGGGTCCTTTCTCATCCCCAAGTTCTCTGCTTTTTAAACAAGATGCAAACTCATGCATTTTGAGTTTGCCAAGGGATACGGCGCTCTTTTTGTTCAGACCCTTATTTACTCAAAGCAGTTATCAGTTAGCAACTGTTGTAGTGGATGCATGGCTCGGCTAAATATTCTTAGAATTTACAGGAAAGAGTGAGTGGTAACAGTTAGGATAAAAATCTTCCTTGCACAGAACACAGTTTTTTACTCCAGCTTAGGCAGACAGTGGCATATGCCTGTGCTTGCTGTGGTTTCGTTTCTGCTTAAGTTTGGTCTCTGTGGGCATCTTGGTGAAGCCTCTTGGTTCTGTAGGAGTAGCCACCTATCATTTTAGGCACAAGGTCAATTTCTAAATCTGTACCCTCATCTCAATAAAATCATCTTTGTACTTCAGCTAGCCTGTGAGAATAATGTGCTGTGATTCCTTCTTCTCTCTTCCAATTTGCCGTTATATAATTTTTAGAAGCTGTAGGAAATGTGGAAAATAGCTCAGTGTTTGCTTCAGTCTCACCTCTTCCATCATTATTAACACTTAATGCTTCCCATCCTTTCCATGTGCCCATTTTGTTTACGTAGTCGCGATGGTTTCCCACACTTAAGAAAACGAACAGTAATTTTGTTTTTGTTTTTTGTTTTTTGTTTTTTTTTTTTTGATTTTTACAGGCTTCCTCTGTGTAGTGAATTTACAGATCTATTTCTAAATATTTTCTTTTCTTTTTCTTTCTTTTTTTTTTTTTAATAATTTTCACTGCTTTCTTTCAAACCCGGTGTTTAATCAGGGGTAACAAGCTGCGTTTGGCTTTATAGCTTTATATTTTAGGTGTGTTTTGATCTAGAACACTGCCCTCATCTCTCCCTCGTTCCTCTTGGAAGATGAGGGGCTTGTCTTCCAGCAGATTATGACAAATCCCCTCTCTTTCCCTCCTACTTCCTCCTCCTTTTGCCCTTTCCCTCCCTCCTCCCTCCTTTCCTTTTCTTAATGTAGGACTTAGCCTCTTGGATGTTAGGCAAGTGCTTCTCCGTTGACCAACATCTCCACTCTCATACACATGAGTATTAGGGCAGCTTTTTCCCCTTGTTCCTCCTTTTTTTTTTTTTTTTTAAACAGATACAAATAGAGAAAGCTTATGTAAAATGGATTCCTAATTAAGGAGTTATTGGCAAAGGAAGCTATTCCTTATGGACGATAGTCAGGTGAACATAGAAGGAATGCTAAAAGTAGGAAATCAGTGTTCTGCTACCTCCCACGAACTATTTAAGGCAAAGAGGGTAAAAACCACAGGGCAGCGTTTTCAACAACAGGAGGAAGACAGCACTCATCAGGACACTGGCTAATTGCTGTGGGGAAAGCAGACCTTCCAATGCTGAGCTTTGGGGCCTGGGGACCCAGTAGTTAAACTTACTGTCACTAACAGTGGACTGTCCTAATGGTCGCCTCCTCTGTGATACTGCAGTGCAGGTCAGGACGATATCTACAAAAACACAGCGTGGGGAGGCCAGATTCAAAATGTATGTTGAATTTCAGAGTCCTCTGAACTTTGCAGAATTTAAAAACTCTACCAGTTACGTAACCCTTGTCCAAACTCTGCAATCTGAAATGTTTCTAAATGTCTAATTTTATGAGCAGTCTTTGTCAGCATTCCGAATCATGATGAAACTTCTTTGAGCCTTCTGGACCTGACTTGAAGTCTATGGGACATAGAGCAGAGGGAAACAGGTCACATGATGCCATAAGGAAATAGGCATATCCAGAAATACTTTTAAGTGAATTTTCATTTTACTAAAAACCATGCCATATTGCATTTCCTTGAAAGACAGTGGTCCGTATACACTTGAAACAGTCATTTCAGTAACTGTGTAGACTGAGCTGGCACACAAGCTCTGTCTGTGAGCCCTTTTCAGTAACTCTGAAGACTGTAGTTCCTTTTTACAGGGTCATGTTGCAGTTTGTATGGCTTCTTAATAACCTAGGTCACAGAAGTTGGTGTGCCAGCTCTCAGAAACTGCCAGGTTGACATACTGAAGTAGAAGAATGGAGGGTGAAAATTGATTGTGCCCAAACATTAACTCCCAAGACTTTATGTGTTTTGCAGTAGAGCAGTGTGGAAAGACCTAGAAAACTGACACTGCTTTAATCAGTGCCAGCTTGTGATTGACTGAGTTGTTGCTTTTGCTTGCCCTAAGATTAGTCTTCCAGAAATGCTCTAAGGTTAAGCTGTAGCATCAAGGCAGTATATTTACTATGTGGTGATTGTTTCAACTCTAATTTATTATTGATCTTTCAGGCCCACAGCAGCAGAACTTTTAAAATGCAAATTCTTCCAGAAAGCCAAGGTAACATACTTAAAGCCCCCAAGTCAGTCTGCTATTTTGAAATGGCTGTGAGCTTGCATGTGTCTGATTTGGTGTTAAACTATTGGGATCTTTTTTTTTTAATTTATTTTTTTCAGAACAGAGAGTACCTGATTGAGAAGCTGCTGACAAGAACGCCAGACATAGCCCAAAGAGCCAAGAAGGTAAGCTCTCCACCTCCCCAACCCCATCACCCAGAAGGGTCCTCTCCCCCAGCCAGAATTGAGAACCGTGAAGAAGCAGGAAGAAGGTTCCCACCCACTCTGCCTTGCAGTGTTGAGATCAGCTGATCCCCACCACTCTGGGTTTCCCCTCTGGTTCCCTCAGGTTGCTGTCGCATGTGTGGGCATGGAAACAGTATGAAGCTCGCATGTTTGCAGTTTTTCGTGCAGCAGCTCCCTTCCCCACCCCAGAAAGTTAGAAACTGGGTGCTGGCAAGGTTTAAAAACTGGAGAAGTGAGATAGCTCTATTACTTTCTTTTGTGGTTTATAAAGAAGGAATAGTCAACTTTAAAATGTAGTTTGAAATGTTTGAAATGAAAACGTGCATTGTAGGAATGATGTATGGAATAATAGTCACGTGTGTAGATTTGCATGTGGTCATGTGCTTGTAGAGTCCAGAGATCAATGGCAAGTGTCTTTCCTTAGTTTCTCTCCACCAGTTTTTTGAGACAGTGTCTCTCACTGGACCTGAAGCTTATTACTCAAGTAGGCTGGTTGGCCTGAGAGCCAACCTGTCATGCCTCCTCTTAACCCCAGTGCAAGCCATGGGCCCTCAGTCTTCATTGACTGAAGCATTTTCCAACCCCAAACTTGAGTAAAGGTTGGTTGGATATCTGTGGGCTATAATTCATTTCTCATAAAAGACCCATGTTCCTTTTCCAGTCTACCTTTGTTCACTAAGTTTTGATTACCTACAATTTTTCAGTCCTGGGTTTTAGCTTTTTAAAATATCATGCAATTATATATGTATTCATCTATTATGGGTTATTTTGTTATGGATTTCATTATGATATATATGAAATCCAATAAACGGTAGCATCGGTTTGGTTACTTGGCTTTAAATTTAGTATCACCCACTAGTAATTAAAAATATATTTTCTGCAGATTTAGAAAGGGAAGTCTCTTGCTTGCCTCCCTGTTTCCTGCTGTAGACAGAAAGCTGAGAGGAATCAGAATTGTGAGTGATGTAAATGAAACCGACAGATGTTCTTTGGATACTGAATCTCCTCACACCCAAGGTTAAGTGAACACCAACTTCAGGGCTTTGACATTTCAAAAACCATTCTTCTCAAAACGCAAACTTTAGCTGGAGCTTCAGTTTTGAGTAGTTTTTTTCAGTTAGCTGTGAGTGGGTGCCTCCCTCCCCCATAAGCATCTCTCCTCCACCGATAGTTCCGAAGCCTAATTGCTTCTGGTTTCATGGCGTTGTTATTGCTTTCACTTAATCAAAGCCAGTTTTTCAGGCCTCTCGCCTGTCTAGCCGTAGGTTGGAAGGGGCAGCCTGGGGAAGCCAGCGATTCCAACTAGTGAGAGAGATTCTGCTGGGATCTGAAATTGCCTGGCCTGGCAAGCTCAAGGTCTCCTAATGGGAGGCAGAGAGAGGAGCCTGAATCTCTTCCGTCAGTGTTGTTGGAGTCTAGCCTGGGGTCTTTTGGTCACATGTCCAAAATGCCATCCAGAGGTGACAAAGCTGTCAGAATTCCCCTGGTTTCTATAGTCAGTATCTGCAAGGGACTGTTTGAGCTCGTTGGCTCCGTGCTTTGCCTCTCTGACTTTGCACCTGTTCCCCCAGACCCCAACATCGGGGTTACGTTTGACACCTCCTTCCTACCACATCTGCGCCATCTCAAGCGCCTCTCCTTGCTCCCCAGCAGCACTGGGACCCTTTCACCCTCCTTTCTTTTCCACCAACTTTCACCCTTCACTTCCTGTTTCACTGTGTGGCCCAGACTAGCTTCAAACTCATGATTCTCCTGCCTCAGCTCAAATGCTTGGCCTACAGCCATGCACCAGCCGCTGTACAAGGCTCCTCCTCTGTTTTTAAAGTCTTATAAAAGATTATTTTACGTATATTAGTGTTTTGCCTACATATGTGTCTGTGCACAGTGTCCCTGCCTGGGGCCCATGGAGGCCAGGAAAGAGTAGCTGATGACCTGAAACTAAAGTGAGCCACCATGTGGGTGCTGGGAATTGAACCTGTGTCCTCTGGAAGAGCAGCCAGTGCTCTTAACTGCTAAGCCATCTTTCTGGTCTAGCCTCCCCTGTTCCTCCCCTTTAAAAACAGTTCTTTTAAGTTTTGAGACTATAATGTAATTTTCTCTTCTCTTTTTTCCCACCAAACCTCTGCATATACCACTCATAGCCTCTTTCAAATTCATGGCCCTTTTTATCATTAACTGTTGTTACATATGTATCCCTAAATATAATCTGCTCAGTCTACATCATGCTACTTGTAGGTATGTGTATGCTCGCAAGGCTGACAGTCTGGTATCGGACAACCAGTTGGTGCGCTCTTCCCTGGCGAAGACTGTTTCTCCCACTGCCAGCATTCCTCAGCTGACTGTAGTTCTTTGTTCAGGGTTGAGGCCTCATGGTCTTTCCCCAGCCCACTTTAGCACGTGTGTTGTCCTTCTTGTTCGGTTCATGATTAAGCAGTCATGTTGGTGAGACTTTATGGCTGCAGCTTCTGGCATTCCTGGGAGACAATCTCAAAGCAAACTTCCTGATCCTCTGGCTCCTACAGTCTCCCCCCCCCCCAACCTCTTCCTCAGTGTTTCCTGAATCTTGGGTGCAGGAGTGTTTTGTAGATATGTCCGCTGGGACCGGGCTCCAGCCTCTGCATTTTGATCAGTCATGGTTTTCTGTAATGGTCTCTGACCGTTGCAAAGAGATGCTTTAGTGATGAGGGTTGAAGACTACACGACCTGAGGATATTACACAGATATTTAGAATGGAAGTCCAGTGTTTTTAACTAGACGCCTGTGGTAGATTTCTGTCTTTCTATCTCCTGTTCTAATTACCCTTAGACTCCGCTTCAAAATTAACTTTCTGACCAGGAGTGCCTTTCAAAATTAAATGAAAACAAACATGAGGAAAGATTTAAAAAAAAAAAAAAGAAAGAAAAGAAAAAAGAGAGAAAAGATTAAAAAAAAAGAAAAGAAAAAAAAGAGAGAAAAAAACACTTTCTGCCTAATAAAGGCCAAGATTCTTAATACTGAATTTCTAACCTTATAGTCTAGCCACCAGGAAAATGCACCCTAACATAGCCCAGACTTTTCCTGTAGACTTCCATCAATTTGAGCAAATGAAGAATCTGTTCAGGCTATGACTTTCTTTTCTTCCCTTACAAATATCTTATTATATATGAGTGTGCTGTATATCCCAACTCCTGTTTTGCCTTTATCTTGCACAGTAAGCAGCTAGAACTTTGAGGGATGTGAATTTCTAACCGTATCTTCTCATATGTCTTAGATCTTTGTGCGGTACATCATCATAATCATCATCATCAATTATTGGGTTTGCTTTTGTTTTATGATCAAGTCATAATATATAGCCCAGGCTACCCTTCAACCCACAACCTTCCTGCTTCTGATTCCCAAGTGTTAGGAAAACTGGTGTGCATCAATGCTCGTACATGCTGGATTCTTGATTCCAGGCCTTAATTTGTCATCTATCTTTCAAAAAAAAAAAAAAAAAAAAAAAAAACAAAACAGCTTTCTGTCTCAGTCTAAAAGGAGACTGTTAAGTTTCTAAGCATCATGTAAGAAAGGCTTCATAATGTTGTCCTGGCTGTTTCCCTTCTTAAAGATAACTGCGCCCCTGTCACACATTCCTTGTCAGGTCTACTTTGGCTATTGTCTGTACTTCACCCCTCATGTGGAAATTTGCTGATAGGTGCAAAGCTAAGACCCCCCACCTCAACGGCACATCTGCTCTTCATCGCGTGTGGCCAGAAACACTTGCTCTTCTACCGACCACGTGTCCTGAGTCAGTCAGAGAAAGGCTTCCCCTGCTACCCCGTTCTTCACCCTCTTGACCTCAATCATCTGTTGTGCCCACACTCCTAGGAGTCATATTACTGGAAAGGAGCCTGTCTTCCTGTTTGCCTCCTGGTCCTTCTGTTAGTAAGCAAACATGGTGGTCTCCACAGGAAACCTCTCTCTACGGAGGCCATAGGAAGCAGATGTTATTTGAATTACCACGTGTAGTGAAAGCCTTTACTGTAGGTTATCTCCACATTTCCTGGATTTTCACAGTGCTTACGTAGGTTTTGTGGTCAAGTTGGTGCAGGGGGCTTTTGTGTTTTTAACTCGTGTTTTTCCTTACAACGAGGCAGATGTCCTCGGCTTATCACTGTCCTGTTTGCTGAGGTGCTTTCTCAGTTTTCCCCTTGTTTCTATGGTGTGGACTTATTTCTTGCACACCACTTGTTGATGCTAGGTCATTGATTTTCTTTCTTTCTTTTTTTTCTTTTTCTTTTTTTTTTTTTTTGGTCCCCACCACTCTGTTTATTAAATAAAACAACGATCCCTTTATAACGGGTGCTTAAATAACAATTGGGTCTCTTGGTGAGGCTTATGGTCACTTTACAACTGTGTTGATTTTAAATTTGTCATAAACAATAATATACATGTTCCCTTCATGCTAACTCAAGTTAACCTATATGTTTCTTTATAGCCACCACTATTCTTTTGTAAGATAGCTAGAACACACACACACACACACACACACACACACACACACACACACACACACA